AATGAACAACATTAAAGTCCCTTAAATTAAAATATACGGTTTCTTCTTTTGATAACCAGGTTTCTGTTAAAACTAATATATCACAGTCACTCTTTCGTAAAAAACAACAGAGTTCGTCAAACTTATTCCTTACACTTTGAATTTTCATGTATTGGATGCAGAATTTTTTGTCTTTTGTCATAATGCATCTTAGTTTTTTAAGTCTTCTTCATCCTCCACTAGTATGGTTTTGCTATTTTCACTTTTCCTCAAATAAATTTTCCCATATTTTATCCAGACAAATTTGTATTCGTTTTCTTGCTTAAATGCCCTTGCTTTCTTATAAATATCCTGATTTATTCTGGTTAAGTCCTGATCCACATAGATATATCCATATGTTTCATGATTATTGTTTGTATAACCCAGATCTTGTATTTTTATTTTTTTCTTTTTAGCTTGCATAAATTTTAGTTTGTCTTCGTGTTCCTTAAAACATACTTTTATTGGTGCAGGATGTACACCACCCTTTCCCAATCTGTATGCCTTAAATGTTTTTGCTTCTACTTGCAATAAGTTTCCCATTTTAGTTACGATTTCTTCCAGGTTTTCACTTCCAGTTACCTGAGGTATTCCTTTTATTAGTATATTGTTCTTCAGTTCCTTTTGTTCCCGATTATTTATTTCACGTGTTAGTTTTTTTTGTAGATTTTGAACCTCTGTTTTGTTTTTGCTGCTCTTCGAATCTTTGTAACAGATCCGATAGCGCCTATCCATTTCAATATATCTGCTATCCATTGCTTTTAATTGTCTCATAACATCACTTATTGTGTATTCTTCCTCCTCTTCATCAAGTTTTCTCTTTTTTACGGAGCAATTTTCATTGTTTACTTGTGAGCTAACCTCACTTTTGTCACATGCTGTACCTTTAAATCTATCTCCTTTTGGATTTCTTTTCTGATCGTCAAAGTAATTAAATTTTTCTGTTGTCATCGGGATGCACTTTTTGTGATACCACTTTTCACATATAACGCAGTTAATCGCGTATGTATTATTGCAAGTTTTTGAACAGGTTACACACAGGTACGCCATTTTACTTTTTTAGACTATATATAATAAATATTTTTGTACCTTATTCAAGTGATTTCCCCTAAATAGCTAATTTTGTGAACGTTGAAAAAGTTGGAATAATACGTGCTGCTTTTCTTATCATTGTATTTTCGAGATCGTGGTTTTTCGTTATTATGCAGCTATTTTAAAATTGTTTTAGTTTGCGAAAGTGAATAATGGATTTAGAAAAAGAATTTAAAGCAGTGGAGAAACAATGTTTTGCGGATTGTGATGAAGATTACGAAGATCAAGGTGGAGGTGCAGGTGTTAGTGACATAGAAGATGACGTTGTACCAGATTCGTCTTTCGATATGTCTCTTCAGGATATTGACGAAAATAAAAGATCAAAAAAAGCAATTCTTGATCTATTTATAACTTTTTTCGCGATTTTTATAATTCATGTTGAACTTTAAGGATGGTTTCCAGCAAAAGTTTCAAACTTAGGAGTCTGCGGTATGTTCCATTAATTTTTTTTTTATAAATTTCGATCAAAAAACAAAAATTGATTCTTCCGATCATAGGTACATTTCTATAGTCCAGGTCACATATAATATGAATTATGCTATATGTATTTATTTTTGTTTTTATGGTCTGTTAATAAAGCTGCAAAGTATAAATTCTATTTTACCTATTTGCATAAATATCAATATCAATTTTTGACACCTTCCACAGTCTATGGAAAAAGCTTGAGAAATTTCTGGAAAACCTGGAAAAGTCAGGGAATTTTATACGAATTCAATAGTATGAACCCTGATGTATGCTGCCGTACTAAGCGCAGAAGCGGTAATTAACATAATGGCTGTCATGAGATATTGGTACTTTTATGTTAATAGCTCTGCCAACTCAGTTTGGTAACAGATACCGCTAAAAATAACTTGATATTTCAATCATTTACTGACAAAATACCGATTTAATACCTTATTAAAGTAGAGATTTTTAAGCCTAGTGTCATATTACGGGAAAATGTCAATTTCCTTTAAATGTGCAGTTACCGCTTCTGCGCTTAGTACGGCAGTATGGTTTCAGCAGGATGGATGTCCAGCCCATAATAGTCTACGAGTTGTAGAATATTTACAACAAATATTCCCTAACAAAATCTTTTCAACACAGGTACAATTCGGTGGCCGGCGAGGTCACCTGATTTGGCCCCGAATGTCTTTTTTTGGGGCTATATTGAGTCTATTATTTATGGACATGAGCATCAGAGGGCTAATGACCTAAATCAGCTTCAAATTAAAATTGAAGGCCAATTTCAGGCCATTACTCCTCTTATGCTAGCAAACGTCCGGCGGGAATTTTATGATAGGTTGGGATATTGTTTAGCACAAGGGGGAGGTACTTTTGAAAACCGTCTCTAGTTTTGTTAGAGTTTCATTTTTAAGTTTTTTATTTAGGATTTCTTTTTTATTTTTAAATGTTTTTTCAGAATACACTTTTACTTAATACAAAACATAACAAAATCATACATTTCATATGATTATGAGTCAGTTTTTTAAACTTCTGCTAATTTTAATAAAAATCAATTTGATTTCTTTTACACAGATCGTATTAAAAGAAACAAATTTTAATAATTAGCAGAAAAATAAAAAACTGGTTCTAATGGATAAAAATTTAATTTACGTAAGGAATTCATTCGAGCATAGTTGTACATCAATGCTTACAGCGCAAGTGGCATAGCCACACTGACTCCATTAAATTTGTTTTAGTACGCATGTCTCAACGACGCATCCAAATCATTTCTGAGAAGGTTCTCGCTTTGTTTTGACTGCGACTTATCTGGTCCAGTTACAATGTATTTTCCCTATAGTTAGCTTGCAAATGAAGGTACGGTATATTATATTACATAAATTCTCACAATATAAAAACACAACCAAATTACAAGTATACAAAGATTCAACTAAACCAAAGATATCGGTGTGGAAAACAGATACAACTTATTATTCGCAGATAATCAGGTGGTTGTTTTTAGACCTTTAAACCTCTGAAAACAATGTGGTTATGTACTTATAAACAGTGTTGTCATGAAAGTTCACGACCAAAAATTAAAAAATACCCGATTATACTCACAAGAGTAAAAAAATAGTTATATTTATAATTTTTTAGCGCATTGGCCCTATTTTGACAAATGAATTTAATTTTGTATTAATCAAGAAGAATGGTAACAGAATAGAATAATAATAATTATGTAATTCGATTCTCGGGTAAAATAACCGCGAACGGCAACACTGCTTATAAAACTAATAACAAGAGACAGTGGCGTCATCTGTTTATTTTTTATTAAGCTTGCCAATCAGAGATAGAGAAGTCTATATTATCGACATCTAGTTCAAAATGTCAGCCATGAGCCTGTCGCCATAAAATTCGATGCGCAATGGTCCAAGCTCCTTCTCCCCCCTCTATGTCTCTGGTCTGGACCCACATATCAGTTCCAAATTAAAAAAACCTAATCTTGCAAAATTTGAGGGTATTTATCAATAGAAACACTTGTCCCTGACGAAGGTTTTTTTTTAGATAATTTAGGAAATTTAAAATGTTTTTTTCTGATTTTTTTTACTCATGAGTATAATTGAATATATTATATTATATTAAACGAAATAAAAATCCTAGGAATGTTTATATAGATGTGAAATATGTATATTATTTTACAAATTATAATATACCAGTATACATGTAGTGTGATCGGATTGCCAATATGAAAACTTTTTTAGACCTGATACAGCTAAACCAAGCACGAATTTAGAATCTACGACCAAAAATTATGTTTACGTCCGAGCGTTTAGCTGAAATATTTTAAAAGTTAAAAATTTACCTACGGTGTAATTCTATTTATTGTTTGTGTAATTGTGCCATTTTTGTAATTAGGATTCACTGCTCGGTGGTCCCAAAATATTCGAACGCATTTTCTCGAAAACCACGCATTTTTTTACTTCACTGAATCAGGCAAAAGTATTTTTGTAAGTGTTTATTTAAAACCGATCTTTTTATATTTGTTGTTGTTTTGAACAAATTTTAATTTAAAAAAGTTGTTAATAAGATATCAAATGATAATTGTAAAACAAATACTCGGTATAATATTTTTAAATTTGAAACAGTATGTTTGGAGCGCTATCAAAAACCCTCGTATAACAAATTTTGTTACATTTTTGCAATTTATGTGGATAACATTTAAAATATTAACAATGAAAAAATAATGTTTGACACTTTGGATCTCAGTAAGGAAGAATTTTATGTTTATATGAACTTTTTTTCTTAAAAGTAATTTTGTTCTGAAGCTCGTATACCTAAGAAACACCCTGTATATTTTATTTTTATTTTATTTTATTATTTCAGGATCAGGGGCGAAACCAGGATTTTGAGAAGGTGGGGGTAATAATATTATAAACAAAATTTATTTATATTATTATTAATTATCACGTGATTATGCGAAAATTTTTGTATTTCTGATTGCGAAGGAGGATCCGAAAATCGCCGAGTGTCCGCCACTGATCAGGATTTGCCATAATTTGCTTTTTTAATGATACAATTCTTAATTCCACTTGTTTGATGTATTAATTAATTTATTTGATTAAAAGTCGCAAACAGTCGAAAAACTGGCCACAAAGAATGCGAACTTTCATTTAGCATCGGACCTATTTGTTGAACTATGTTATTAAGCCCAGATACTTTGTTGAACTTACTTTAGTTATTTCGCTATCACCTAACTTTTTGTTTATTTCTGCTTGTCTGGCGTTTTTTGGTTGCATAAAAAATGAGACTTCATTTCTTAAACACGTTCCAAATAATAAAATAAATTGTTAATAATAATAACAAACTTATGATAATTTAAAGTTTTTAATTTGCATTTTTATTCCACTCTTAATACTTATTTACCTAAACACTTGCTCATGTGTATTTTTATATTTGTCTTTTTTTAGATAAGGGAGATCCTGCTAATTGGAAATTACCAGGCGTGAGAGCAAAAGCAGTTTTTGACTTTGATGCAACTAGTCCAAACGAATTGACAATCCACATAAACGACATGGTTAATTTGGCTCCATCGTACATTCAAGAAGAGATGCGCTTAAAGAACACTGGTTGGGCGTTGGCCACCTTTAATGGAAAGTCAGGGGTGGTTCCATTAAATTATTTAGTAATAAGCAAAACCAAGCCAATTATGAACAACGATAGTAATGTACCTGTACCTAAAGACTTAAATGCCATTAACACACCAAAAACGCATACAAAAAGGGTGAGTTTTGGTGAAAACCAAATTTTCGAAAATGTGGATTTAGAGGATTGCTATAGAAATACAGTGAAAACTGATAGTGATTTAAGTAAGAGTGATAATAAAGTAGACAATAAAGATTTTAACAAACCACAATGTGAAACAGTATAATTTTAAAAGCAACCAAAAATATTTATCGTATTCTATTATTATTATATTAAGCATAATAAATTTATATTGGGCTTATTAGCTAAACCATTGCAGTAGTAAAATATAAGTTTGATACCTACATTTTTGTGATAGCCTTTTTTGTAAAACCTATACTAAAAAAATTAAAGGATTATTTTTTAAGTTATTTAGCGTTGCAGCGCGTTGCCTAAAACTCTGTTAAGAGGAATCCAAGACCATCAAGATAATTTTAAATCAGGCAAGTTTAATTTTGGTATACAACAATAAAGAATAAAAAATTATATTAACGTATTCATTTGTTTAAAATTTTTAAAATAAATATTTTGCTATTTTAAAGTATGCATCCACACTGATTTGACCATTCGCTGGCCGAGTATTACAAGGGTGTATGTAACAAATTTAAAAATATCGGCCTTAGTACTTTACAAGGTCCATATACATTCAGCTCTTTAACAGAAATTGGCAACACAAATTAATGAAGCCTACTTGATTATTTTGTGTTGCCAATTTATGTTAACGAGCTGGACGCCCATAGACAACCTTATAAAGTACCAGGCCAATATTTTTAAATTTGTTACATACACCCTTGTAATACTCGGCCAGAGCATTGATTCCTCAACACTGACTACACAAATTTTTAAGTGACACATGTGGTTGTTTCAGATAATTGTTTTTCAACCTTTTTAGTGTTGCTGACAACTGAATATCCAAAAAGTTATAAACGTTGCGACCCCTACTATTATATGTTAATTTGACGTTTAAAATTATAAAAAAATTACATATAATTAATAGAAAATATCGAACATTTTGTGAAATTTTAAATTTCGACAATTACCTAAGTAGTTTTGAAATAGTTTTTTAGAATGACACCTTAAAATTTAAAAATTTCTGCGAAATGAAAGAAATAATTAAATAAAATTATAAAAATAGTTAAAATCATCGTAAAATTAAATTAAAAAGTTGATTTCAAAAGTTGTTATGCTATGCTAAGAAAATCGACCGAAAAATTAAAATTTAGATTTTCAGTGATTCTGATAAAATATATAGCACCATGGCAAGAAAAGTTATGTAAAGCCTGGTTCTAACAGAAAAGTAATTTAATTTAAGATGTAATTTTATTTAACCTAAAAGTTAAAAACCCAAGAATTCTTTGTAGCGTTCATACAGTGATGTAATTTAAGACTTAATTTAATAGGGTAAGGACGACAGTCGTTGGCACAATTGTAGGCAAAGTAAGATTTAAATATCTATAGTACCATCATAAATTGGACTAAAAATGAATGCAATAAACTCAAATAAAAGCTCAGAAATTTTACTGTATGTCTATATCTTCTCTTTCAACGTTTATCTTTGTCTTATTCATAAAAAAACACAATAGAAAAAACTGGAGTGATTTCACAGTAATTGGCAGGTATGTTACAGTGGTTGACATTATCTATATATAGTTGTTGGCATAGGTTAATGATATTATTATAAATATTATTACCTATATTATAATCTATAATGACTAAACAAAAAAAAAGGAATAGTGTATTTAACATTATCTTTATTAGCATTTTTCACTTTGTGGAATTTTTATTAAATGTAGGTATCTTAATTCTAAAAAATATTGCACTTATTGTAGATGAATGGTTTTGCAAAAAATAATGTAGTGGCATTTAAAATGGAATGTTTTTATGCATTTTGAACATTTTCTGCCCATTCTCTTTGGAGTTATATTTTCAGTACATTTATAGCAAATCCCAGAAGCTAAGAATTTGCATTCTGACTTCTGAACAGTTTTCTTTTGCGAATGGTGTGTCTTTATTTCTTCCCCTTTGGAAGACCATTGTGATGAAAAATTGTCCAAACAGTTTTCATTATTTGGTTCAGTTGTAATCATGCTATTTCTTACTGAAGAGGACTTTTCTACTCCACTTTCAGCTTTTAATGCCACAGAAGCTTTAACTAATACATTTTGTTGTATGTGTTTTGATGTCTTGTTTTCTATAGATTTAAGAACAGGATTAAGTTCTGACCAGTCTCTGTGATTAGTTTTCTCTTGCAAATGGTGTATCTTTATTTTATCTTCTAAAGAAGACAAGTATAATGAAACATTTTCCAAAAGCTTTTCTTCGTTTGGAGGAGTCTTACTCATGCTATTTCTTTCTAGAGATAGCTTTTCTTCTTCAGTTTTACCTCCCAACGCCGCAGAAGCTTTAATTAGAACATTTTGTTGTATGCGTATTGATTTTTTATTTTTTGTAGCTTTAAGGATGGATTTTTTGTTTTTTTGACCAGATACCACACTTTTTAGTTTTGGTGTTCGACTATTGGCAATTTTTTTCTTTTCTTCCCTTACCTTTTTTCTTTGTTTCTCTTCCTCAAGTGATTTCTTGTTTTCTTCCTTATCTTCTGCCATTTGCCTCCACTTTTCTGGTTGATCACAAACGGCATTTTTTCTACTTGTTTTTTATTTTTTCTCTTCGGAGAATCTGGCCAGTGAAGAATTTCATGTATGGGTGTACAAAGTAATGAATCCTGTTTGGTGATATTATCTTTTAAACGGTTAATTTCTTCATCTGTTGTCTCATGTGTAGTAAAGTTAGCATCAAACTTATCTAAGGCCTCCTTTAATACAGGATCAAAAACATCACCAGTGTCTTCATTTAATGGATGCTTATCTGTTTGGCAAGACATATCTACATCTTCTATGAATTTTATTGAAACATTTTCCTCATCATACAGGATATTATCATCAGTCAGATTGGTGTTTTCAAAAAATATCCAAATTTTAAACAAACTGTTAACCTTAGGGCTATTATTACTTTGATTTCCAGTTTCAAATAGATTTACAAGGTCTTCACCAAGAAATGTTTTAAATGTCTGAAAATTTAGAACAGGTTCATTTATGGTATTAGCTGGATGATCATTTTGTGTTGTTGTCAATCTATTAGCATCCATGTGTCCCATACATTTAGAGTAATCAAGTGCATTGCAATTCCAAGGAAATAATCCGGTTGCCTTAAAACCATTTATTACTGTGGAATCCTTGACGTAGTCATCAATAACTTTAGAAAGTAAGCGTGCAAAATTTTCCTTAGTAAATTGCAGCATCGGATGTTCGCGCCTCCATTGAAGAATTCCTTTTTGCCAACCAGATTTAAGTGGCTTAAAAGCAGCGACATCTGCTGGTTGTAGCAGCCTTGTAGCGTTAGGGTACAAAGCTATAAGTATAATACCTAAAGTAGTACACAATTGATTGACCTGAAGTGTCAAATGTGTTTTATGTCCATCAACGAACAGGATTACTGGCTTTTTAGTTTTTGTGTTAACTATATATATATGGGTTAAACACATTCGCAATATACTCGTAAAATAAGGAAGATTTAATCCACCCATTATCTGAATAGCCGACCCCCCAATTTTTTGTTACCGTCTCCAAAACTTCTTTTGGTGGTTTTCTTTTGTAGGGATATATTATCATTGGTGGGGTAAGGTCACCGTTAGCGCAAAATGTAAACATTACAGTTAATGCAGCTCCCTGGTCAACTTCATACACGTTCTTTGTTCCTCTAATGGCAATTACTTTTTTATTCTTTGGGCACAATAAAAAGTTGGTCTCATCACCATTAAAGATTCTATTTCCATCCAGCAGAATGTTTTTTAATTCTTCCTCATGTAGTTCTGTTTCAATGGTTTTAAACCAGTTCCTTATATCAGCCTTGCTAATACAAGAACTAGCTTGGGTGACTGCTTCGGTTGTTCTCAAACACAATTCTGGGTGTCTTTTCACAAATGCCCGATACCACCCTTTGCCTGGCAGGCCATCGCGAAATGGAGTATTTCTATTCCTTCACAATATTTTGTACACTGTGCTGGACATCTTCAATCCGCCTAGGAAAACCTTTTCTTTGGCATGTTAATATCCATCTAAGATAAATTTGCATCAGTTAAATTATTTAAACAAAATATAATTAAAACCAACTGAACCAAAACTTCTTCCTTATAAGTAAGATAAGTGCTTGGACCAAACCCAGGTTTTTAAATTTCTGCCCCATTCGAAATTGAATAGTTGACATGGGTACACCAAACATTTTTGACGCCTTTAATTTGGACATGCCATCCCTAAAAGCATGTACAGCTTGAATAATTTTCCCTTCTCTCCATTTCTCTAAGAAATATAAGTAGATATAAACAAATAAACATTTTATCAAAGCAATAATATTGCAACAAAAGCATCAAATTACTTGATGCCAAACACTAAAACTCACCAATTAACAAACAAAAAGCCCTTGACTGTATTTTAAGTCATTACTTACCTTAATATGTAAATACACACAATTATCTAACAGTAGTTTAGATAACACAAACATTGAAAAACTCTTCTAAAAAAACGCGCGCCAAAGCAGCTTCATATTGCAAACTTTTAAATGGCAAAAACCCCATACCTTAAAATTAAAAAGCAAATAGTTTATTTGCAAATACAAATACCTGTGTCAACTACTATAAGCCTGCCAACGACTGCAGTCTTTACCCTAGTTGGCCAAATTTTATCTTTTAAGTGCTCATTCATAATGGACGTAACCATAAGATGCCCGTAAGAAATACGTAAAACGTAAAGTTGAACATTAACAAAACCAGTGTGCCTGTTTATAATGAATAGCCGTAATTTTTACGTTTTACGTTCGAACATAAGATCTTATGGGTGACCGTAAAAAATACGTAAAGTTGAAATCATCTCAACTTTACGGGTTTCTTATGTGTGAATTTTAGTAACTTTCATGATTTCACTAGAACATTGTTGGTAGCAATCAGGGTAGTAGCCATGCAAACAGATGACAGATCTTTTTCAAGTGTATTCTGGTGTATCCACAGAACAAACAATCTAAAGAACCATTCATTATCCTAAAGTTTTAGTTTGAGTATTATTCGACGAAATTCGCCCTTTTTTTCCTCTCTTTGCCAACGTATATATCGCTCATTACACTAATAATTATAATAACACTGATAGTTTTAACTTAATTTATATTTATAATAATTATAATTAAATTATTATGCCTTAAAACTTTTAAGTTTTAAGACATAATAATTAGACGAAATCT